CTTCATCAACAAAGCTAATTGGGAAATATGATTTTCTTTTATATACATTTTGTATCGGGCGCTGATTAAAAAACTGAACATTATTATCAAATATCCATGGTAACATTAAAATAAGATTAATATGTTTCTTTGAACATTATGTCATCGTTTCTTTACCAATCAGTTCTTAAAATTGAGCCTGTATCAACGCTAACAGAACTCTCAAAAATGGTCAAAATAATGTCATTTTTTTAGTTAGTCCTATAAATATGACGTCGCTTTGAGATATTTTTGCTTCTGGGCAAAGCAACGTCATATCGAAATTGCTCAAAAACCCATAGCATGTTCCGCCAGAAAATCGGGCGGAACGAAAAACAATGAAGACAGCGTGTATTTACATATTATTTGACCTATTTATGAACAAAACTAAAAAATAAATACCTTTTGTCAAAATAATTTAACTGTCACATCCGAAAAATCATGATTAAATCCTCTCATGTATTTCGATTCCTTTTACAGCCGATAAACAAATGGCGGCCGTAAAGTGCGCGAAATCTGATTGGCTAATTCAAATGCAAGCGTTTATCTGAGTCAGAACAATCTAAAGGAATATTTTTTTAACGAAATAATTGCCCATGCACCGTCAGTGTGTTCGAATATATCTTTTCGTTCAAAAATTTGGAATCAATCTGTAAAGCACCTTGCTTAACCAGTATGGCTGATAGACAAAAATAGATTGATGTTGATATTTTATTTTTAATTGATAAGTACATCGTTTGACAGTTTTTGTGTATGATTGAGCATGAAATTGAAAAAAAATATGATAAGCTTTTGAATAAAGCTTGAAAGGCAGGACAATAGACATTTTTGGAATTTTTTATGATGCTATGCGTTTTTGAGCAATAACTATTAGACGTCGGGCTTGACCGACAAAAACTATAACAAGCCTGTAACGTCTAATATATTGGACTATTTTTTAGTGAGTTGATTGTTTTGGAATATTGCAACCGTTTTTAGTCTATATATCAGGGCTCGAGCTAGTGGGCGATTCGGGCGAAATAGTCGTCGAATTCCGCCTGACTTCGCCGACATCCTACATGAAAGCGAAGATGAAGTCGCCCGATTTTATTGATCCATTATTGAAAAATACCATTAATAACTGTGAATAACATAAATATGAATTACACAGTATTTATTACAAATGGAGTGAAATTAAAGATCGTTTCTTTCGTTATCTACTTTTATTTTCTTTACAACATAAGTGAATATGAATATAATGTCCGGCGCAAGCTTTTTAATAGTAAATCAGAAGGGAATAACTGTTAATCCACCCATGATATGATCCATGATAGGAATCAACTATGGCTTTTTTATCTTCATTTAATGCAATGGCATTCTCATTACTTGTTTCAAACTACTTTTAAACAGAGACATAGATAACAATAGTTATAATAATAGCTATCTATGTCTCTGTTTTAAATTAAAATTGAATATTCTGTTGTAACACAAATCCAATTCATTTAATAAGATATGTACAGTGAGTCAACATAATTGCGATAACATACAACAAACATCGATAAATGAATCTCCTCACTTCTCCCTAAAGTCTCCCCACTTCTCCCTAAATCAGCTGGAGGGAGAAGTGACTTCTCCCTAAATTTTGAACCTAGCTTGAGCCCTGTATATGGTACGTGAACAAGTAACTTAAAAGATACAATACCTTATTTTAATTTGATGTTCTTTTAAGTGCGGGCCCGCTTTTTTCTCAAATGACCCCCTTTTGAAAAGTTTATGGGCCCAAAGGGCCCCCTGGGAATTTGTTCTAGATTGAACACTGTGAATGAATATGAGCGTGTCATATTCCTGGCACGATTATTGGTTGACTTTCCCTCGGCGGCACGAAATACCCAAATATACCCAAATACACCCAAATATACCCAAATATAGCAATATTTATTTTTGTTTGTATAAAATATAGATTATAATGAGAAATAAATAAATATTTATAAAATAACATGACTTAGCCTGCTATAACTTTCAATCATTCTGTTGAAATGGGCAGTTAAGATGTTGTAAGAAAATAAAGTTGTGACATTTGCTTATCTACAATATCGCTTCTTTATGAATGCAATTTTAATTCAAGATATGATATTTGTTGTCTACACTTACATTTTTAAGGTGTAATTTTGTTGAAATTTCATATCATAATAGAGGAATTTAAGAAGTCCATGTTATTAACCCTTTCCCCCATGAGCATATTGTGAAAAATGGCCATTTTCACTGAAAAGCCTCCTCTCACAAGTTCAAACTGCTATGAAACTATGAAAAATGCTTCAATACTAATCAAACTTGGCACAAATGTTGACTGGACCATTGCCTTTGTAACGACATGCTCAGTCTTAAATTTCCTGTTACCATGGCAACGAGGGGACATCTCAAAATTGCCAAAAATCACTTTTTTGCCTCGATTTTTTCCATCAAAATTTATTTCAAAGTGCTGCAACTTCTCAAGGGATTGAGATAGAGTCAAAGGCTTTTCAGCGTTGGTTACACGTTATCTTATGATCGACCTGGGGTCATTTAAAGCCTCTCACAAGTCCAAAATTTTCTTGGCGATGAGGGGGACTCCGCCCCCTTCAAACCCCCCAAACAGAAGGGGCACATCCCCCTTCTGGCAACACCCCTGAAGTAATATTTGGATGGGGGACGGCGCCGAAAAAACGGTCAATTTTTTTAACAACATTTCTCAAACGAAAAACAGTGTTTGGGGCCTAAATAGGGCATTTTTTCACTGTTTGAGGCCTCAAAAAAGGGGGGGGGGGGTCAAAAAGCCGTCGAAACACGCTTATATAAGGGAAAAGGTTAACAAAAAATGATGAAAAACCTTGGAACCACCCAAAATCTAGTTTTTCCATGTTAACATTTGGTCTTTTACCTAATTTTGGTGAAAAATCATTGTTTTGTAATATTTATAATTTTTTTAGTTAACCCTTTCCCTCATGAGCATATTGTGAAAAATAGCCGTTTTCATTGAAAAGCTTTCTGTTACAAGTTCAAACTGCTATCAAACTATCAAAAATGCTTCAATACTGATGAAACTTGGCACAAATGTTGACTGGACCATAGTCTCTGTAACAGCATGCTTAATCCTAAATTTCCTGTTACCATGGCAACTTGGGACGTCTCAAAATTTGCCAAAAATCACTTTTTTGCCTCGATTTTTTCCATCAAAATTTATTTCAAAGTGCTGCAACTTCTCAAGGGATTGAGATAGAGTCAAAGGCTTTTCAGCGTTGGTTACACGTTATCTTATGATCGACCTGGGGTCATTTAAAGCCTCTCACAAGTCCAAAATTTTCTTGGCGATGAGGGGGACTCCGCCCCCCTTCAAACCCCCCAAACAGAAGGGGGCACATCCCCCTTCTGGCAACCCCACGAAGTAATATTTGGATGGGGGACGGCGCCGAAAAAACGGTCAATTTTTTTAACAACATTTCTCAAACGAAAAACAGTGTTTGGGGCCTAAATAGGGCATTTTTTCACTGTTTGAGGCCTCAAAAAAGGGGGGGGGGGGGTCAAAAAGCCGTCGAAACACGCTTATATAAGGGAAAAGGTTAAAAAAAGCTTTAATGGAGTACATATACTGTATCTTGGTTCAAAACACAATGATGGGAAAATGTATATTTGGGTATGTTTGATTATATCTTAGTGAAAGTGTATATTGTATTCATGATTAAAACAGCACTTTTTTAGAATAAAACATTTATTTTTAGTATAATTGGACAATATTTGGGTATATTTAGGCAATATTTGGGTATATTTGGGTGTATTTGGGTATTTCGTGCTGCCCCGTCTAAAGATCTACCAGTAGGCCTATACCACTATATATGAAAGTATATTACATTAGATATACATTACAAAGTACTTTCACTACCTTCACTTATACTCGAGTACGAATTGTACATGCTACTGGCATGCGAGCAGTTCCCGTACAGAAGCACTACCCGTATTTTTCATTTAAACGCTCGATTTTTACCTGCATTCTTCATAAATTCATTTCAAATCAAGCAGATACATAAACGAGACAAAATCTAAGTGTCAGTTTGGCAGTACGTATAAAAAGTCTCATTTTAAATCACTTTCACCTGTGTGTCGTCAAAACGTGACCTTGTTTTCTCTGGGGGATTCCGTCATTGCGCGCATGCGCAAAAATACTTACACGTGAGGCTTGTTAAAGGGTTTTCCACTAATACCACCTGTTTACAAATAAGTAGGCAATGTGATGAAAACTTGTTTAATTATCAGAATTTTGACCAATATTACAATATAAAATAATTATATGTCTTTGATGCGTAAAATATCATGCATACAAGCATGCTATTGCATGTGAATGCGTTGGGGTAACGGTACCGGGTAATAGATACCCGCGTTTAGTCTACGCTCTATTTCCTGAATTACATCTATTTATCTCTTAGATAATGGTCTGTTCAACAATTGTAAATGAAAAATAGGTCCGATATAATAAAATTGTATAATTATCATGGGTTAGATTTTATGTACGGGAACTACTTCTCTTCATACAAAATAATGGATAATTTGGGTACCCCATATGAGGCCTCATAAGTAAGGGTTATTCTATGTTTAGAACATGATGGAATTTCCATGATTTGTGTGACGAGCCGAATATTGATGTGTAACATTCAAATTTTGGTGAGTGAGCGCAATAAAAAATAATGTTTAAGTAACTATGATTTTTGTACGGGAACTGCTCGCATGCCAGTAGAGATTTTAGATCTATAAGACACTGAATCCTCAGAATTCTCTAGTTCATTAACTGATTAACAGTAACTAGTTCTGGCTTCCATAACTTTATATGTCGCTTTTATTTTGACGTTGCGACAGTAACAGGTCTAGCAATACTATAAAACCTGTTCGCTGAAGTATCTATAACCAGGTAACAGTTAAATTCAAATTTAAGTCATCCTGGCGACTAGATAACACAATATTATTTAGGCACCTACCCTTGACTACCTTGTATGATACATTTTCAAAAATATCAGCTGATCACATTCCAGTGTATAAAGTAATGTTATTAGCTAAAATGACATAAGATAACTACAGGGAATGCAATATGGCCGCCGTCCACAAAAACATCCTCGTCAATTATTCCTATCCGAAGATTGACGGAAAAGGCCGAAAAGTTGCGATTGTAAAAACCGGAGACCGTCCAGTTCGTAAAATTTCAAAAAGTTATCATGTTTTGTGAAAAATCTTAGACCAATTGATGAAAATATTACATACGAAAACATACTGGGGAACAACCTGCTGCAGCAGTTGCTTTAATTTTGAATTGAAAGTTTGACAAATAGGAAAAAAGGGTTGAACTGTTGATAGAACTGTTGAACTGTTGATCTATCTACTGTGTTAAGGGGTTCTAACTACAGTACATATATTGTTTATATATGAACAGGATCATTAATATATAATATTGTCTGAGGGAAATACAGATGATGTAACCATAAGTTATAGTTACGTGGTTTGTATTTTCTTCAGGCAATGTATTTCAGTGAGGATCATTTGGTAATATGTTAAAGACGAATTACAGTTGTGTTCACACTACAGTAAAGGTTACACAAAGTGCACACGGAGTGCACTAAATGTGCAACCAGTGCACTACAATGTGCACTTGGTGTGCACTTCATAAAGTGCACTTTGAAGTGCACTAGACCTTAACACTTACCTTTTATTTCAATAAATACTGTAACTATTAGACTTTTACAAAAAATAGAATAGATATTTGTATAATAGTTTTTCATTATGAATTAGAAGTTGTGAATATTGGATTTTGTAAAATATGGCGTAAAATATAAGAACAATAATTTTTTTTAAATTAATCAATTTTATTTTTTTGGTACTTATTGCTATGATAAGTTAATATAAAAATTATAACTTTAATGTTGATAAGAGCACAAATAAGTGTTATTTCATTTAACAAATGTATGTACATGTACAGTAGTCCTTGTTTATTACATATTTCTTTCAGATTTTAAAGAAGTGCTGTACATTTGCTGCACACATTTCTGGTGAGAAGGCTGTTCAAACTAGTTCAAACTACCATAACGAGACAAGGCTTTGAGTGCAGGTTTGACCTTCCAAAGGTCAAGGTCACAATTACTAATTTTGTATCAGTTTCAAAAAATTGTGTTCACTCTGTTTGTTTTAACTGCTAGTATGAAATTTAATCTATTCAGCAGAAATATTTATATTAATTACTGAGATGATATGCAGAGTACATTTTTGGACTACCTCAAGTCAAGGTCAAGGTCACACTGACTCATTCGAAATCCTTATATAAAGTGTATATATTACGAAGGGAGATTACAATGTATGAATTTATTGATATGTGTCCTCATAATCTTATTAATTGAAACTGATGTTGTAAACTTGAGATATGTAAATTCACTAAATAACAATAAGCTGTTAACAAGGCACATAAAATGTCCATTTTTAAGGTATTATATCAAAACTTTGGACATGAATACGGTTTTGCTATACTGTGGGCAGTCTCTCTCTAATTGAAAGACATATATATGTTCATGGGAAGAAATACAAATATAATTAGTTTAGCCAATTGCATTCTGTATTGCTATATTTTTATGAAGGTAATAACAACAAATTTTCATATGCCCAAAAATATTAAATTTATGTTAAGTTTATATATTTTTATGAAGGGTCACTTGTTGACATATTCAAAATTTATCAAATCATGCTCCTGGGGTCGATATTGACCACATAGATATAAAAAAAACAACTTATTTTCATATATGTATTCTTATGTAAAGTTACAAATCCCAGATCTCAGGTATTTTACATAGAAGAACCCGGACATTATCCCCTTCGGACAAAATCCCCTTCGCATACCCGGACAAAATTCCCTCCATGGGTGGACATAATCCCCTTCATGTTTTTGCAAGGCTGGACAAAATCTCCCTACCTACCTGGACAAAATCCCCTTGTTTCATAGGTTTCTAATGTGATTAAAATGTGCTAATTGAATGTGCTATTCTGCTGATCTGTATTATTTTCATGCTTTGAAAAATACTTGATATATTTTCTGCTTATTTTTTTATTAAGCCAGGGCCAAACCTTTTCCACGGGACCTCAAACTCCCGTTACGGAAAAAAAGAACACTATTAAAACTCGTCTATAAATTCTGAAAGATGGTGAGGAAGAAATTAATTGTGCAAACTGGACGTTTCGGCCCAAAACCAAATCCGTCAATGTGCAAAAATCGGCCCCTAGACGTATCGGCCCTTTTCCGCGAGACGTTTCGGCCCTTTTTATTACAGTTTTATTAAAGTATTAAAGGATTTTTTTATACTTAAAATCGATAAAAATTATATTGATTGATCGATGGCACGCAAACAACTAAGATACTTTAATCCTTAATTGATAATCCATGATAGATCTATGGATAATTTAGATAAATGCTATAAAATTAATCAGAGGGGGATTTTGTCCTAAGTAGCAATTTTATTGAGAGGATTTTGTCCACTTCAAAATATCACAATTAAAGGGATTATGTCCAACCATGGAGGGAATTATGTCCAGATATACTAAAATACATGAAGAGGATTTTGTCAGAAGCGGATTTTGTCTGACATTCGAAGAACCCTGCTATTATTCCAAAAATCACTTCACTGATATTAAAAAATGGATGTGCCCAGTGGGTGGGGGATGGATAGTTCTGACATAGTTTACATATACATAGATTTATATTTCAGTATATATGTTTTAAAAGTCTTTTCCTCCAACAAACAACAGCCGAGGCAGAGCATAGATTTTAAGCATGTATCATCACATTGTAGAAGAAGAATTATCAGTTTTATGTTGGCTGTTTGTGTGAGTATTGATGTAAATGTAAAGGGAGGTAATAATTTAAGGGTTGCAAGCTCTGTGGTATTTTCTGAGCTTTGCAATCTAAATCATACTGTATGTATGTTCCTGTATAAGTTTATTTTTATATACTATATTCATCTTGCAGGGCACCGAGATGCAGCGACTGCGTTTAGTTTTTTTTTACTATAACAGTTTGAGTTTGATACATATGGAATTTTGCATGACTAGAGTTGCATAAAAACAACATTTTTGTTCATTTTTTATGACAGCCACACTTTACCCCTGTATATCGTGGCTACTTCCTTTAAAAAAAACACTTAAAAATACAAAAAAAGTTGCCTCGACTGGGATTTGAACCTTAAACGAGCACGTTACCACTGCACCATGGGGAAAGCTTGAATAAAATCAAATAATTCTAAATTTAGTTGTAATCCTAATTAATTTAGGGGATAGCAGGTGTCAAGTGCTGTGTGGCAGCTGTAAAAAGTTGCCCCGTACTTCACTTCAGTGTTGTTATATTTTTCTGGTCATTCTGGATCATTGATGCCAGCACTATTAAGTGTTGAGAATTGAGTACCGCTCAAGCCGGTGAAAGGGGCGTTAGGGATGTTGCACGTATTCATTATCCATCATGTACAGACTCAATCAAACCGAGTCTGCAATTCTCTTGTAATTTTGTTGTGATTAATGCTTCCGAGGGATCACTTTGTTTCCAGATTTTTATACTTCACAACAGCAGGTGTCAAGTGCTGTGTGGCAGCTGTAAAAAGTTGCCCCGTACTTCACTTCAGTGTTGTTATATTTTTCTGGTCCTTCGGGATCATTGATGCCATCACTATTAAGTGTTGAGAATTGAGTACAGCTCAAGCCGGTGCAAGGGGGCGTGAGGGATGTTGCACGTATTCATTATCCCTCATGTACAGACTCAATCAAACCGAGTCTGCAATTCTCTTGTTATTTTGTTGTGATTAATGCTTCCGAGGGATCACTTTGTTTCCAGACTTTTTTCTTTAGGGATCCTGTATTTCTCTATTTTCAAATAGTCATTTGTAAAAATGGGTCGATCTTTCTGTATGAAAAAAAGTTGTTAATTGATATAAGATATATTGTTTTTCGTATATTATGTATTTTGTGACCTATTAATTGTTTTTATAACATTACGAATTATTTTGTTTTTTTTTATCTTTTTTTTTCAATCAAAGATGTAAATGTAAAAAAATATTAATTATGTGAAAGTCTGTTAATTGGCTAATTCTTTTAGCGGTTTGTTATGTATTAATTTTTTCCATTACATTGTATTTGATAAAAAAAACCTGCTGCATAAATATTATAACGACTAATACTGGCATGCGAGCAGTTCCCGTACAGAAGCAGTACCCGTATTTTTCATTTAAACGCTTGATTTTTACATGCATTCTTCAAAAATTCATTTCAAATCAAGCAGATACATAAACGAGACAAAATCTAAGTGTCAGTTCGGCAGTACGTATAAAAAGTCTCATTTTAAATCACTTTCACCTGTGCGTTGTCAAAAAGTGACCTTGTTTTATCTGGGGGATTCCGTCCTTGCACGCATGCGCAATCATACTTACACGTAAGGCATGTTAAAGGGTTTTCCACTAATACCACCTGTTTACAGATAAGAAGGCAATGTGATGAAAACTTGTTTAATTATCAGAATTTTGACCAATGGTACTATATAAAATAATTTTATGGCTTTGAGACGTAAAATATCATGCATACAAGCATGCCATCGCATGTGAATGCGTTGGGGGTAACGGTATCGGGCAATAGATACACGCGTTTAGTCTACTTTCTATTTCCTGAATTACATCTATTTATCTCTTAGAAAATGGTCTGTTCAACAATTATAAATGAAAAAAGGTCCGATATAATAAAATTGTATAATTATAATGGGTTAAAGTTTATGTACGGGAACTACTTCTCTTCATACAAAATAATGGATAATTTCGGTACCCCATATGAGGCCTCATAACTAAGGGTTATTCTATGTTTAGAACATGATGGAATTTCCATGATTTGTGTGACGAGCCGAATATTGATGTGTAACATTCAAATTTTGGTGAGTGAGCGTAATAAAAAATAATGTTTAAATAACTACGATTTTTGTACGGGAACTGCTCGCATGCCAGTATAGATCAAAGAAAAAACTAATCCGGCCTGTAAATTGCAAATTATGACATATCTAAAAAGATAAGATTTAAATGAAAGTATTTAG